AACCAATAGGTGCGTGGGAGGGTTGTGGGGAAGGAGGGGGTTGGACCAGGGAAGGATGTTGGTCCTGCAGTCGCTGAGGGGGGAGGTCCAAGACAGGGGGAGGGGTCAAAGTGGTAGATTCCAGCTCATTCAGGGGTTGGGCATCATGATTTACTTGTTGTGGATCCTTGATGTGTAATGATGTATAATCCATTCACCTCATTCAGGGTTTCTCCACACACACTCCATTCAGCCCACCCATGAAGAGGGCACAAAAGGGCCAAGTTCAAGGACAATTGAAAGACCTTAGAGTTAAATGGTAACGCTTTTAACTCTAAGAATGTCAGAGAGTTAACAGCTGATATTGCCAAGATCTTACAACTTCTTCCTGCTTGGGAAAGACCCCATCTTAGGCTTTCTGGGGTGGGTGCCAAGAAGACCTCTGCACTTGCTTTATAATAGGCCTTAGATTAGAGGCATTGGGATCCATGTAGCCAACCATCATTTGCCCCAAATCACCAAAGACACCCTTCAACATTGGGACTTGTGGCCAGAGATTAATGGCAATAAATAGCAGATGGATATTTCCCTGGATTTGTTCTCTGAGCACATGGTCAAATTCAACAAATGTGTGTTAACTATATACCACAACAAAGTCTTTGCCCTCATGTAGCCTATGTTCTAGTAGAAGACAGATAATAAACTAATAAATATTTACTGTAATGTCATGTAGTAACAAGAGAGTTGGGTGGTAGTGGGCTATTTTATGAGATGGTCATAAAAGATCTCAGAGGAGATGATATATAGCAGAGACCTACGTGGAATGAGAGAGAGCGCCACATATGTATCTGAGGAAGGGTTTTTGGTTTTCCAAGAAATGGAACAGCAAGTACAAAGACCCAGAGGCGAGAACAAGTTTAGCAAGCTCATAGAAGACCAGGAAGACCAGTACCCCCAGGTAGAGCGAGCAAGAGGGAGAGGAGGAGAGGTAGGTGATAAGGTTGGCGAGGGAAGGTAGCTGGGTACGGAGGGCTGTCTTAATAACCCTTGTGTCCCCAGGGCCTAGCGGAGGCTTTCCTTGAAGCCCCGTGGTCCACTAGGCAGTTGAATCTGAGTCTCAGTTCAATACTTGGATGTGACTAACAATGGCTTAAAAGAATGAATGCAGCTTTCCAAACTGCTTGTCGAAATTGTAATAGAGGAAGAGAAACTGGCATGTCAAAAGACTGAGGTGGTTTGTCTCAGAGCTTTCGACCATTCCCTTCCTTTCCCACCATCCCTAAAGACAGGTAAGATTTACTGTGCCCATTAAAGAAAGAAGGAGCTGATTTGCACCCTCCAGCCACAGGACTAAATAAAATGGCAGTGCTCATGCCCGTGAGCCTTCGTTCTCATGCGTTCTCACTCTGGATAATCTCATCCCACCCAAATCCAGAAAGCCTGCTTAATTTTTTACTTACAATTATTTTATGACTACAAAATCCCACACTTATTGGTACATATGTTAAATGTCAGCTGACTCATGTAGCCTATATCTAGATTACTTATGATATATATTTTTAAAGATAGAGAACTTAATCTTCCATCAACTTGGAATTTTTCATTTAGTATAAAATAAAAACCATATGGGCTTTAACATCTATTACCCTTGAATAGAAATGTGATTTAGTTCTAAATAAGCACTAGATTCTATGGGGGGAGGGGCTACTGTTATTTTTCCAAAATCAGGGGGGTGGGGGAGGAAAGGGGGGCATTCATTAGCTCATTCCCCAGCTGTTCTATTGATGAACTGATTATTACCACTGTCTTGAGGGGTGCATTTGAATCCTTGTGGCTTCCAATTTTTGTTCCTATTTTTGCCACCCAGAGCAGTCTGTCCCTCTACTCCTGCCTTGGCACAGCCCTTCAAATATAAACGTCACCTATGCCACATGTCCCTCATGCCCTATGCTCATGACAAAGCATCCTCTGAGCTCTCTCTAGACACCTGGTTTTCAGGCTGCTCAGCATCCAGGATGTGGCTGTGTTCTGGTTCATCAACAAGTGATTCCATGAAGCGCGGGGCCAAGGCTTAAAAATGATTCTCCGTGTGTTGTGTCACCAGCACTGAAAGACGGGCCATTTAAGCAGCCACTGTCACTGTTTCTTCCTCATTAGGCAGTGTCTTATTTCTTTGTCTCAAGCTCCTTCTCCTTTATGGGTCCCTTGCTTTTAGTGGATAACATTTAGCTACTCCCCTGCTCCCTTTCCTGAAAATAGAAATAGTGTTGGTACTTAATTTTCTTTTTCATGCCTCATATCACCTTTGTTCCCCATCTGTAAGCTTCCTGTTTGGGCATGTGTTTTTCTTTAAGTGTGTGGCATTTGGTATGGTGATCAATTATCCTGGCTAATTGCTCCTCATTTGAGATCCCTATTCTTTCTCGTTCAAGGCCAGACAAGACGACTTCCTCTCATTGACCAGGTGCATCAGGTCTCTTACTTATCCCCAGTTTGCCATGTGGCAGTTGAGTGCTTACAAGCTCTTTCACTGAGGGTCCTAATTTGAGTAGCTTGTGCTTGTTCAGTGGGGCTGCTGGCTCCTGTGTCCTGTGCCCTCCTGGCAGTGAAAGACTTAGCGCTGTTTCCCTGAGTTTCCCTGTGAGGTCGCCCAGGGATTTGCTAAATGTGCAAGAGAGAGCACTTTTTTTTTGGTGGGGGAGACATGCATCTTTACAAAAGCTTTCTCTCCTAGTTCCCAGGTATGTAGGTAATAAACGTCCACTTTGTCTTTCTGAGGCTGTAAAATGAGCTTAATGGCCCTTTCTCATCACTTCTTAGCTACTCGGGGCTTTTTAAAAGGCCACTCTTCAGTGGCTCGTTTATTGGCTCACATTATTTGCTGCTGTTATAAACATGATTTCTTCTTGCTTATGAGACACATCCTCCAAAAATACCTGCATTAGCAGTTCCTATGCAGCGTATTTAAGAATTCAGATGAGTCAAAAGTGGTCATTGGAAGAGAGAGGACCCTCTGAAACCATTACTTAAAATTCCACTCAGCAGCCCTTTGGAGATGTAAATTGAGGCAGCAGCTCTCCTTTTGGACAGCTTAATGATCTGTAGATAATAGTAAGAGGCTGCTGGGCAGATGCAGTACAGCTGGGCTTAGGTTAGCCTCTCTCAGCTCTCCAAATTGCACCGTGATTACAGCCATTGAGATTCAGATTCCTACCCGGAACCAGTAGCCAAGAACACAGAAATGTGGCATGCCTTGTCAGTGTTGCCTTTGTCCCCAGGCCTCCTTCTTGAGCCCACCCAGGCTGGGCAGTTACCTGCACAACAAATAGCCCCCTAGTCAGTCTGCAATGAAGAGTGCTGGATTTCAGGCCAATTTCCCCTCTTACTTGAGTGCACACAATTTCACTCAACTTGAGAGAAACTGAGTGTATTCTCTTGGCAGCAAAATATAAGTCTGGGAGCCACACCATACACAACTGCTGGAGGCAATAGATATGTTCTTACTCGTTATATATAAAATTGGCTTGAATTACTACGTGTTGGGGTAGCAGGTCCTTTTACAGTTTCCAGGGTCTTACTATCTTTACTCAGAAACCCAAGTGAATTCAACAACAAGAAACAAAAACAAAGCACCATTCAAAAATTGACAAAGGACTTGAATAGATATTTCTCCAAAAACAAAAAGAGATGTACAAATGGCCAATAAGCTCATGAAAAGATGTTTCACATCCCTAATCATTCAGGATATACAAAGCAAAACCACGGACAGGTATCACCCCACAACCATTAGAATTACTGTTATCAAAAAAAAAAAAACCCCAAAAAACAAACACCCAGAAAATAACAACTGTGGCTAGGATGTGAAGAAACTGGAATCGCTGTGCACTGGTGGTGGAAATGTAAAATGGTGCAACTACTGTGAAAACAGTATGTTAGTTCCTCAAAAATATAGTTACCATATGATTCAGCAATTCTACTTCTGGGTATATAAAAATTAATTAAAAGAATTAAAAGTGAGGCTCAAAGAGATACTTGTACACCCATGTTCATAGCACCGTTATTCACACTGGCCAAAAGTTGGAAGCAACCCAAGTCCCCTTTGATGGATGAATGGAAAAACAAAATGAGTGTATACATACAATGAATATGAATAATATCAAAAAGGAAAGACATGCTGACTCACGCTACAACATAGATGAACCTTGAAGACATCAAGCAAAGTGTAAAAGCCAGTTACAAAAGGACAAATACCCTATGGTCCCACTTATATGAGGGGCCTAGAGTAGTCAAATTCAGACAGATAGAAAGTTGTGGTTCCCAGAGGCTGGGGGGAGGGAGGAATTGGGAGTTGTTTAATGGGTACAGAATTTTAGTTTTGCAAGATGAAAGGAGTTCTGGAGACGGATGGTGGGGACGGTTGCACAACAATGTGAATGTACTTAAGGCCACTGAATTGTACACTTAAAAATGGCTAAGATGGTAAATTCTGTGCTATATGTGTTTCAGCATAACTTCTTTAAAAATAAAAATGCTTAAGTGAAGGATACCATTTTCTCTCAGCAATCCAGGCTTTAGAGGGACAGATTAGAAATAATGAGATTATATTCCCCAAACTGTCTTCTGTATCCCCATGACAATATTGTGAATACCAATTTGTGCTTTCCAATTCCCTCACCTTCTCCCTCATCGCCACCCTCCTCATTGCAGTGTACACCTGAAGCTGAATAATATTGAACGTCAACTATAATTTAATATATATGTAGTCACGGGATATGGAGTACAGCATAGGGAATAGTGTCAATGGAATTGTAACAGCTATATACAATGTCAGAGGGGTAGTAAATTGGGGAAGGGGAATTATCACTTTGTGAGGGGTGAAATATCTAACTATTACATTGTTTTGTACACCTGAAACTAATTTTTAAAAAAGCTAAATAAATAAATGGAGAAAAGAAAAAAAAACAGCTAAGGGAATGGGTCTTGACTTTATATGCAACTAATTACAAATATGCTTTTTTCAGAGTCACTTTTCTCTCAAGAAGGGAGCTGCAGCCTTGGGCATTGGAACAGACAGCGTGATTCTGATTAAATGTGATGAGAGGTGAGCATAAATATGCAACCCTTGTTGTTTAGCAATTTGCGAATTCCACACATATGCCTTTCATCTAGAAACAGGCAATGACTGTGGGCAGCAAAACTGCCTCATCCGGGCCACTGCCGTTCACTTTCTTTTTCACATGGGCTCTGGCTTGGAGTCTGAGAACGTTGTTCCTTGATGTCATGGAGCCTTCCATGGCCCTTGACTGAATCAGAACCTTTGTTAAATCAATGCAAATATTCTGCACCAAGACAGTGCACCAGGACATTCATCAGCTGGACACTTAAGCAGCAACCAGCAGCTAAGCACTGATTGATGGCGATGTCATCATTCTAGGCATCTCGGATGGTGTGAACTTGATGGAGTGATTACAGAAGGGGGACAGTTTAGTGAGCAGGAAGTAAATAATCCCCCAGGCACTCATCAGCTTTGTGCTGGAACTGAAGGGGAATCCCTGTCTTCATTGGCATCCAAAATCTCATAGGCACTCTGGGAATAGGTGTAGGGGAGATTTAAAAGCATTTTCAGGATATCCATGTAAATTATCACTGGCATATAGACCTGGAACCTATAAAGAATGAAATGTATTGAATAAGAAGTTTCACTAAATTAAAAGGAAGACACTCAGGTAACCATTTACTTATTCATATGAATTTACTGGGCAGATATTTATGACTGCTTACTGTGTCACCAGGCTCTAGAAAGCATAAGGCATATACTCCAGTTCTCTGGTGGTATATGATCTAGGCCAGGGGTCGGCAAACTTTTGAGACGGAAGAGCCAATCCTGTCCCTCACAATTTAAAAATTATTCGAGAGCCATAAAACAAATGAAATCACCGTTACGTGAATAATATCCTTTAAAAATGTTATAAATAAAACTATGATAGTTTTATTTTCATTTTCAATTTTACGTCAGAGCCACAGATACGTAACCAAAGAGCCACATGTGGCTCGCGAGCTGCAGTTTGCCGACCCCTGTTCTAGACCCATCAAGCTCAAATGCTGAGGTTCCCTACCACACACAAAAGGAAGCATAAAACTTCACTATTTTTTTCTTCCTTGTAAAAGTAATGTGTGTTCATAGCAAATAATCAAGCAAAACCAGACAATGCATAAAGGTGTGAACAAGAAAGTGGCAATCTCTTGTAATGTTAGCTTTCAAAAGGAGGTAAGGTTATTAATCAGTTTGGTTTTGGGAGCTCTCAAAATCCCACATGGTCCAGCATATCTTCCATGGCTGTTGCCTTCCCCTCACCTCCGGTCAGGCCCAGCTCCTTGAGCCACACAAGCTCATTCATTTCCTATTTCTGAGGCTTTGCTCAGAAACAAGGTAACTTGCAAGCATTTTTATTCAGGAAGGGCATGAATAAAACCACCCGTCAAGAAGCAAGGAGTTGGAGAGACTTCGGTCAGCGAGGACAGGTGAGAGGGTCTAGAGTAAGATGGGCATGAATGATAAAAGACTGCAGAGAGGCGGACACATTTTGACAAAGGAACTACCTTATATTTTTAAGGCTCCCAGTGCTCCTCACTATCAGGTACTTAAGAATTAAGATTTGAGGTGAAAACTGGCGAGCGCGCACACACACACATACACACACACACACACACACACACAATGCTAACTGGAGATCAAGTTTTAAATGACTTCAAAATTTTTCTTACTCTATAGACAAATCGTTATAAGTAAGGAGCCTAGAATTCAGAGAAGAATTGCCTGACAGGCCCTGGGTTTTCAATCTAGTCAGTCTTCCTTATTAGTTTAATTAGTAGCTGTTCTTGAAAGGAATCCCAGTGGGCTGAGAGATGGATGACCTTGGAGAAGAGAGAAGGCTCTCAACGCCACTCCTTATGGCATTGGTATTGCTGCTTCTACTCCTATGAAAAGCAAATGGTGACAATGAAATGGCCTTGGGATGAGTCCACCCAGCCTAGCAGCCAGGTGCACAGGGAAGCAAAAGGCTGGCCTGGCGACATCTGACTGTCTGGAGGCAGCATCATGCTCTAAAGGGAAGTGCAGTCCTGGAAGAAGGAGGAACAAGAAGGAAAAGCAAAAGTGCTGCCCAGAAAGGAACCACAGCCAGGACTGCCAGGATAAAGCCCATAAGTTGTCTGTCATTCACCAACATCAGAGAAAAGAGCAGAAAGCAGAGAACACTAGAAAACCAGTGGGGTCTAGAATCAGTGACAGACCAGGTGGCCTCAAATTTTAAGGTCACAGGATTTTATTTCAACAATTTTAGAAGCCATTAGAAAACCTAAAACACAAAACTAAAAATTACTGTTGTTTCAGAAAGTATCTCACTATCTGCACCCCCACCCCGGTCCCCCCGACATATGACATATACCCATTGGGAGGGTACAGATGGAAGGGAGCTATCAGGCAGTATGGTGAGAGGGGCTTTGTCTCCTTACGAGCCTTGTGGGATGGGGAAGGGAGGAGGGAGCGATACAAGAGGAAAAAGATAGAAAAAAGGATAAAAAATAAAAGGTGGGAGAAATAAGGAGTAGGAGAAAAAAATTGTGGATGACATATGAAACGAAGTAGAGGGAAATTCAAGTGGGAACAGGAAACACAGGAGAACTTTAAAAGGAATAAATTCTTGTTTTTACCATTTGAAAAGCAATATATACTTACTTAAAAAAAATAGAAAATAGCAGGGAAAAAAACCATAGTTCTACCACCCAAAGACCATAACCAATACCACATTGGTGCATAAACCTATGAATCTCTATGAATCTCTTTTTAAACATAGAGGTTTGTTCTCTCTCTCTCTCTCTCTCTCTCTCTAACTTACCTATTTGTGATCATGTTTCTTTTTCTAACTAGACATGATAACATACATATTTTTCTACATTATTACAAACACAGCATAGTTAACTACATAATATTTGAGGTGTGACTGTTGCAAAACATAATAGTACTTTGAAGGGCTGGTTCTGGAGCTGGACTTTGAATAAATCTCAGCTACAGCACTAGCTCAGGCACATGGCTCTCTATGCCTCAGTTTCCTTACCTACATAAAAAGGAAAAAATAATTGCACCTGCTTCATAGGACTGTTATGCAGATTAAATGCACTGACAACTATAAACCGCTAAAAATGATACTTTGAACAGAGCAAGCATAAAATACTATGGTGTTGCTGTTATAAATAACCCCTCCATCCTTCAATGATCATTTGTACGTGCCCAGGGCTTCTTCATCGATAGTTATTTCTTAATATAATTGCTAGTTTAAACTATATGAACATTCTTAAAGAAAATGATACATTAGGCCAAATTGCCTTTCAAAAGATTTAATCAGTTTACCCCTAGCAGTAATGTATGAGAACATTTTGGGGGGGAAATTAAAGCTGTGATGGTAGCTACAGGTAGTCTTTAATTCTATATTGATAATTCATACCATCTGTACAGCACGAGCTTAAGACTGAGAACCTGGGCTTCATGGATTAAGTGAAATTGAAGTGTTCGCGGTCAGGAGCAAAGGAGAAGGCCTTGGACAGTCGTCATCTGTAGCCACCATACAGTCAGAATCTATTAAAACACTCTCAGCGGCCATTTTGTTTTTATTATCACATCCTCATGAAAGTTAGATGTGCAGTTCAGAAAATTACTTAAGGCCGACAAAGTGTGTACCTACATTCTTGTCTCTTTGAATGCTTTACAACATTCATTCAGGCTTTGCAAATCGTGAACCTGGACTTGCTCTCTAAGGCCTTCATTTATTACAGTTACTCTTTCTAACAACTCTGTGCTTCAGTATCTTGGTGATTGGGGTGACAGGTTTTATCTTGTCCCTCAGCCAGTTGACTTAGTAGGAAGCTCACAACTGAATGAAAATGTCCTAGTGACGGAGAACAACTGTGCCTTTCTAATAACAAGCGCAAAGCCACAAGTGGAAGAAGAACCTGTGAGATACTGTCCCTTAAGTAGCAATCACAAGGGCTCAGTTTGGTGACTCATTCAATGAAACGCGGTTCTCAATTAAAATGAAGAAAGAGAAATGTATAATAAATCTTCATTTATTGGGATAGGTTCTTTCCTGAGTTGAAAATCAGAAAACATTTTAATTTTATTACGCATACTCTAATGAGTAAAATAAGATAAAGTAATGGAAAACTTCAGTTCACTGGGGCTTACATTTTAATGGAAGTATAACTAAAAAGAGTATTCTATTTTGTAAAAATTAATTATTAAATTCAAAAGAAGAAAATGTATTAAATGAATTCCTGTTTTCATAAATTCTAATTTAAGAGTCCCCTTTCCTTGGCTGAAAAAAGTTGAATATTCACAGTGATGGGATTAATGAATTTTTACTCAAGTGCCTTTGGGTCTAATATTTGCAAAATTGAATTAGTGGAATCTAAATTAATGATGTATTGATGTGTCTAAGGATAGTTACTATCTGGAGGAAAATCAATATTTGTGAAAGAAAACTGAGTGATATTTCAGAACTGGATTAGGCTATTGACCAAAAAGATGTTTCCCAGAGGTTCAGACAGGAGAGGATGAGAGAAAACTTCTATTCTATGGTTGATAATTTGGAAGACTATGAAGTTCCCATATGATGGAAGTAGGAGCCCTGTAAGCTGAAGACACGGAACATCACTGAAGGGTTTTGAGCCGGGGAGTGACATCATATTTTTCTGTTATAAAGATCATTTAAATGCAAAATGAAGTGTGGGTTAGAGGCTGGCAGTTGAAGGCTGTGGTAGTGATAGGAATAAGCGATGATGCAGTGTGGGCTGGCCCGATGGAGAGCTGAGGAGATGGAGTTCTGGAGTTAATTGGAATTATTGACTGATCGGTGTGCAGGTTGAGAGAGGAGTCAAGGACGAATGCCAGGCTTGTGGCTTGCCAGCTAAGTCCATGTGGTGCTATTCTTAGATAAGGAACCCTGGCCGAAGTGAAGAGTTCAGATTTGGAGATGTTGAGTTTGAAGAGCTGATGAGACATGAGGGTGTCCGGTAGGCAACTGGAAATATGAAGATATACAATGG